TCCCTGTAACACACCTGCCCAAAGTCACACGCAAGGCAGCTCAATTCATTTACGCCAAAGCATCTTCTCGCCGGCATCACACAGGTGGCAGAATTTGCACATAATGCCGTTTTGGCAGCCTTGCAGGGAGGGACTTTTGGATAATGGCTGAGAGTGTGCCTTACAGGCGTTCCGAGCAGTTTGGCAGGATGGTGCAAAAATCAAGGCCTTCTGCTGGATCAATATGCAGGATCTAAGGGAAATATACCCACAGCAAGACATTAGCAAGTGATGCACGAACTGCAGCGGTTTTACTTTGAGCCGCCGGCGAATCGACAGGGGGTGCTTTAGCCTCGGACAGCCTGGAAGAGCTCTAATACCCAAAACACTTAGGAAGTCCACATAGTATCCCCTAGAAACAACCCTATCATAATTCCCATAACCCACCCTGCGAACCCGCTAAACCCTAAACCCTAAACCCTAAACCCTAAACCCTAAACCCTAAACCCTAAACCCTAAACCCTAAACCCTAACGGTACAAGGCACCCTCCCCTTCCGCCTTTGACCAGAAACGCGCAGGGCTTGCATTGGCCAAGCCGATGGTCTCGGGAGCCAACGCTCGGGAGCTCCTCAAAGGGCTCAAAGAGGGTTTAGGGTTTAGGGTTTAGGGTTTAGGGTTTAGGGCTTAGGGTTTAGGGCTCCCACTGGTCTCTGGATGCCTCTACAGGGGCTCACATCTGGTTCGATTGAAGGGTTTTGACTTTCTCTGGCAACCACCCCCACTGCCCTAAGTTCTGCGTTCGAGGCTTAAGGCCAGGCTTCAAGTTCAGGTCATGCGGAGAAAGCCTTCAATAACCAGAAGTCTAGAACGCTCCATGTTCTGTAGATTCTGGACACCATCTTGCAGGCATGTGCGCGAAGCACCTAAACTCAAACGCCTGTGCAAACCTTAACCAGACATGTCCAGAAACCGCATTTTCACACTTCGCATTCGGCACCTGCGCGCTTGTTTGGGGCAAGGCGCTGGCGAGCCGAGCATATTCTCTGGAACGGACCCGAGCTGGATGGCTGGAGCCTGGCAAGTTTCACACGGCCGTTTAGGTTTTAGGTTCTTCGATTTTCCGAAGTCAGTTTCGGGCTTCAAGCTGGGAGTGGATGTGGGACCCGGGGACTGAGTTGTGGGACATTCTGCCTGCTTGCGGTTTATCTGGCATCAGAGATACTCTCATGTTTACTCAGCTTACCTCAGGTTTGCTTCATTTTGACCCTCCTGACAAACAAAACGCGGCCTTCCAAAACCCTCCGAGCCTCCCTCGCGCGGCTCTTCTTGGGTGCCGGGGGTGGGGGTGGCACGGGCGGGGGCGCGCTCTGCACCGAAGGGGGAGGCGGCGGCATCCTCAGAATGACTTTGTTTGAGACTGGTCCCGCGTAAAGAAGGCTGAAGGCTCTCGACTTTGGGATTTGGGATAGGTTTTTGGGGGTGGGTTGGCCCCATATCTGCTCAAGGTGTGGCTGCCAATTCATATTTTAAGGAAGAATGCATGGAGCCTGAACCATGCCTGCTGCCCGCATTCTGGTGCCATAAAGAAACTCCTCTGCAAGCTTCCCCGTTTTGCTGAATGGCCCTGCAACCTTCTTCATCTACAGGAGATGGGGGGGGGTCTCTTCTAAGAATGTAGCACAGGGTCAATGCCATGAACGCTTTTTGGGTGATACTTGCGCGAAAGCAAGGCCTCGACAGGGCTAAGTGCGGTGACTAAGCGTCTGCTGCGGCAGCGGTGGCATGTCTTGCCGCACTGTTCGCGGGTCGGCAAAGAGAGAGCTCGATTGGTAGGCCTTGGCGGCATCGGTAGCATGAACACGTCCGCCTGGAATTGATTCTGATGAAAGCTACTTCGTGAATCTGTTGGGATAGCATGTTAGGGGGTAGGGAGGGCGGGGAGGCAGCGAGGGAGGGAGGGAGAGGGGTAGAGCCAGTGAGAGGGAGAGGGAGAGGGAGAGGGGCGGGGAGAGGGGAGGGGAGGGAGGTAGGGAGAGGGGGCTGGAGAGGGAGGGTTGAGGGGGGGATGGGGAGGAGGGTGGGGGGGGGGACAAGGATACAGACATGATTCATCACTAGATGTACAACAGCACTCACTGCTCGCTTGCGGCACAACTTTCCCATTTTGCTGATGTCTGAGGGCGTCGCATTGCACCGCTCCCCACGAGACTCCGCATAATCTATGGAACGCTCCGGGTACTGCCTGACATACCGCTCTGGGTACTTGTCAGCAAACGGCCGGTATGGATCCTGGTGTTGCTGATCCTGGTAAGGGTCGGCATAGCGCGCCGCCGCGCACCGCTCTGAGTAAGGCATTGGACGTTGATCCACGTACTGACCCGACCGCTGATCTGGGTACTGCTCGGTGTAGTGCTCCGGGTACCTTCTCAGATACTGCTCCTGGTATGTGTAGGCATCGCTGTACCGCTCTACTCGATGCCTTCCTCCTCGGTTTCCCTGGATGGGTGAGTGCTGGTCCATGTAGGTGTAGGAACCTTAGATGCTCGAGTTCAATGACAACCGAGACACCGTGGCACCGCCTTTCAACACCAGCCTGTTCAATCCTCGTCCTTCTTCATCAAACATCGCAACCCCCAAAACTTCTGCAGCCGTTCAACTTGACCCCCGGACCTACCAGGATGGGCTATTAGGCCCGATAATCCCTACAATCCACCCTATACAGAGCCTTTTGAAGAGGTTTTGGGGTATAATAGCCCGTCCTGGAACATGACCAAGCGTCCGTTCACAGCAGTCGGGCAGCCAGCGGCTTCGGCAAAGCCCTGGCTGTCAAGGAATGCAATACCGCAAGACGGAACCCAACACCAAAAGCTTGACGATAGTTTCGTCATGGGTTTCCCTACTACCCCCTCTATACTACCCCCCCCTAGGTTCCCCCCTTAAATAAACTTAATTAAGCTTAATTATCCCTAAATAGGCTTACTTGTGGGGGCGAACCCAGGGGGGGTAGTATAGAGGGGGGCAGTAGGGGAACCCATGATTTCGCTGTGTCCATTTGACAAGCAATTGAAAAAGAAGTGTCAACCGCACAGCAACCAGGGCTTTGACAGTTCCATGACTGGGCCTGCCGATCAAAAGGGTGGAAACTTGCTGTGGGCCGAATGGCCGGACACAACTTACACCCCGGCTCACTGCGCCTTTTAACTCACTGCGTACAGTCAGGATGCCGGACGGTGACCCCTACCTTCTTGAAGCTCCTCGAGCCCTGAAGTCCTTTTTAGGTATGGCACCGCCCAGCAACTCGAAGCCTCGAAGCCCTTTACCCTAACAAACCCAAAATCTTGCCCTAAACCCTAAACCCTAAACCCTAAACCCTCAACCCTAAACCCGAGTACAAACGCCCCTGAAACCTTGGCAGCGGATGCCTCCGGTTGCTTTGGGCCAATCGGGGCCAGAGGGGGCCTGCAAGCAAGGTGCGATGTCTTTTGGAGGGCCGATGGGTTCCCCAAGATTGCGGGAAGGGAAAGAACTTCTGCTTCGGCCTGCGCAGCACTGGGGGCTACTTGGGATTGCAGTCGAAACTGCTCCCGGATCCTGCCCCCTCTTGTTCGATTCTGGGATCGAGGAATGGGAACCCGAGCTAGCATTCTCGAGACTCTCGCGCCCTACAAGCTTCCAAAACAGCTGAACAAAGCGCCCGCATGAAACCTAAAAAAACTGCAACAACTGATGAAGCAACATCAGACACAGTCAAACACATAGTCCACGTCTTGACGTGAGCACGACATGGGCATGACTATTGTGAGAGAACTGCCTAGTCCAGTTGCATACACCTTTCATCATGGCATGAAGATGTGCTGAATGACACGAATGCCATGATGCCTGTCATCTAGCTCTAGTTTCGGACAATCGCCTCGAGGGTTCATGAGTGGGGCACAAACAGGTCTAGGATCGAATCCTAACAGGCGACCGACGAATGTTTGCATTGTGCTGCCAGCTGTGTGCCTCGGGACTGACGATGTAGGCTTCGGACTTGTGAACTCGGAACTTAGTGGACCCTCTAGGTTCACACCTACTAGTCCTGATCCGACAACTTATGGCAAACGAAAAACACGCAGGTTTCTGTTGGCGCGTGGTAATTTTTATAGCATGAGATTCAGAAAAATCCCTGCTGTCCCTGTCTTCCAACATTATTACACGCAAGAAGCAGGTTCGAGCCAAATGAACGATAGCATACATCCGAAGTTAAAACGTTCAATACACAGCCAAACCCCCACAAGATGCTTCCCTGAATTTGTTTCAGAACTGCTGAAGCGGCTGCTAGGGTGATGACGAACCGATCTGAAATGCTCCGGCGCGCAACGCATCTACAAGTAGGAGAGACAATAGCCTCAAGCGCTAACATGGCCTGTGAGGTTCGGGTGCCGGCAGTCGTGGTTCAAAAAGTGCCTCCTGAAATCATGGCAGTGGCTGCTTGGGGGGGGGGGGGCCTTTTGGGGTTTCAATGCTGAACAGCCATGGAAAGGACGGATGTAACCTTCGAACATGATAATCTCACCCACGCTGAGCATCTACTCTGGTCCAGTGGCCTGTGGAAGTGAAGTAAGGGCCAGTGGGACAGCAGCAAAAAAAAACAAGAACCCGGCATGCCGCCGGTCCTCCAAATTCAGCACAGGCTTTTCGGCCGGCTCCTGAAATTCTTCCTCAGGCACTTACAGGGATTGTAATAGGGGGTACTAGGGTCCCTGTTAAGGAGTGTTTGCATAAGGGGAAACATCCCAGTTCATGAGTGCAGACCGAAGGGAAGCAACTTCGCGAAACTTCGGCTTGGAGCATTGCAGCTGCTACAGGCTAATCTTGGCCACGAAGGTCAGCGCGCTCTACATGTGGGGATCTATGCCCCACGGGCAGGCAGGTCGCAGGTTCGTCTAGCAGGAACGAGTCTGTTGCTAGATGTGGCCTTGACCTTCTCTGACATTCATGTAGTTGGACGAGGCATCGCTAAAAAAGCCAAGCAGCCGTGAACAGGTCATGAACCCTGCCGACGTGGCCTTACTGGCAGAGGTGTGCCCGAGACGACAGACTCTTATCAACACGTGCGAATAGACAAATAGAACCGTCAGCTACATGCGGCTCTGAACATGCGGCGCGAAACCTCTGCCTTGAGCTACCTAGCGGACCTACCTTCATTGTACTTCGACTTTCCAAAAGCTTTCCCGTGCTGAGTTCAGGTTTGGAAACGCGTGCATGATCTCTCGCAGCAACGTCACACTGAGTCAGATGGCTTCGAGATGCTTCGAGTTATTCAAGTTCGTGCTTTGCTTCAGAGGCTTACCTGACCTCACCAATCCCAAACAACTTTGCATTAACAGTCATAAGACAGCCGAGGAGCTGGAAGGACCTCAGTCAATTTGCCACAGGATGCGAAACTTACTGTTCAAAGCGTGAAGGCTTGCAGTTCGGAGGGTGAAAGGTGTTCTTTTAGGGTTTAGGGTTTAGGGTTTAGGCCCGTATCATGGCACTTTCTGCCCGCAAGCTGAAAGAACCAGCTGCATATCCGCCCCCGGTTCTGTTGTTCTGTTTTCTGGGCATTGTTTGGGATCCCCATGCCAGTTTAGCCAATTTATTGCGGAGAACGTCAGGAATGAGAATATGGGGGGGGGGGGGGGCATCTTCACATTGAAGAGACTTGGGTCCCAAACGGTGGGGCCTTATTCCACCGGCAAGATCCCTGTCTTTAGCTGGTCAGGGTACCAAGCTTCAGGGCTCGGGTCCCAGATGAGCAACTGGGAGGAGAAAAAAAAGGACTTGTCACACAGGGCGAGCGCCACCCACCCACAGAACAGCTTGTCTTCAGGAGCAACTCTGACAGGGAAAGCGCGAAGTGACGAGCGCCAGACGGGCAATCCCAAATGCGGGTCCACAGCGGATGCGGACAGGCGGGGGATCGGCTCTTCGGGCCCCAAACCTTTGCCATATCGGTGTCGCGCAAACATGGCTGCAAGAGGTACGAACCCGGGCGGAGCGCTGCCTCCTGTGCAAGCACGGCAGAGCTTGGGGTTTTCTGCGTGGGCCCGTGTTTCATGGCCAGGCGCGTCTTGAACCTCCGTGCCTAGGACGACAAACTGAGTAACTGAATCCGATGGGCCGAGCCTTGGGAGCTGCAAGCAAAGAATCATCGTGAAAGTCCAAGGAGCAGGACAAGGCCAGGCGATCAGTTTCGGCACCCGGTTCACTCGCCACGTGGATAAAGGTGTTGCGGACCTGATTCGTCATGGTACTTCGTTCACGGGAGACACCTAGAGGCTGGACAGCTTGCAGCTACGCCAAATAATAGCAACAAGGATGACTAGGGCCCCAATAGCTTCGCCAACTAGTCAGCGTGTAGGTGTGTTCTCCGGCTTGCACTGCCTCCTTGAGAAATTCCCATCTATTGAAACGCCAAAAGACGTTTTTTCCAACCTCTTGTGGTGTTCAGCTGCTTTTCAGGCTGCCTGGCTTTCAGGCTTACATGGTCGCCTCCGGCAGGGGCATGTGCTGCAAGCTGCAATCCGATGCAATCCTGCAAAACCTGAAGTCCATCTTGCCGGCCCACCTGCACAGCCTCTGCGGGATAAGTGTGGAGATCCGACTCCTTAGGTGCAGGAGGAGTGCTTGCAAACTGCCATGTTGCAAGATTCGGTCATGTGTGCCGGGATTTGGGACTTTATGTGCCGATCCCCGGAACTCCATGCGTTTTATGTAAAGAAGGTTGGAATGCGGTAAGGGCAGCAAAAGAGGAACGCGGAGCACCTACAGTACCTGCGCAAACCCACCCGTTGAAATCATCGCAAGGCTCGGACTCAGGGATCGAAATTTCAAGCTTCGGCTTGTCGAAGCCTTTCTGCGGTGGGGGCGGCTGCTGCAAAGGCGGGGATCGCCTGCAGCGCGAGGCACTCTTACATAGCCGGCCTCAGGCCTCGGCCAAACAAGCCGGGCTATGAGAACTGCACCGGGCCAACAGTCTCCCAGGTGCGGAAGCACGTAGTGAGCGTGGGTGCGTGTAGCCAAAATTAGTGCGAACAGTGAACAGTACAGGTGGGAACACGCCTTTGATTACTTTGCCGTGCAGGTCCCTTGTCTCCGGCCCCTTAACGGTGGTCGTTCGCCTGCCTTGTTTTTTTCAAATCGTTTTTCATTGCAGGGGTCGTTGGCGTGCCTGCCTAGTTCCCCACGGATGCCATGAACGCTTCTCGCCTCGTGCCGACGCCAGTAGTTATGCAAGCCTATAGCTTGCGTGTGCTGTCGAGTGCCCACATTGTTTGTTTTGGTCGCTCGCCTGTCTGCCTGCACCCTGGAGTGTCATCGGGCAGGGATACCATAATTGGAATACTTCTCGACATGTCAATCGCTGATCCGCATGTTGTTTGCTGTGTTGGTGCAGTTTATCTTGGCATGCTGCGTGTCGATTGTCTCACCCAGTGGAGCTCCAACCAAGCCTGGGCTCCGTGTGCTCGCGACAATACACTTGATGGATTACACAA